GGTTACGAGCCCAGTGCCAATGGAGCTTACGTTGAAAGAGGACGCACGGTTCTAATGATGTTAAAGGAATAAGTTCATTCAGTCAGAGCATTTTTACTCCATTTCTATTCAAAATCGACAGAATATAATTGTTCACTTCCGAAGAAATTGTGATTGACAAAATATTTGTCACTTACTGACTTCTATAAATTAAATTTTATTATATTATTTGTGCAATATGGTTTCACTTTTTCGTAACACATTTCTCACGAATACCGATCGATTTTCCGATAAGTTGTCACGTGAAGTTATGTGAACCAATAATCAATATATATACAATTTCTAGAAGTATGTAAATGACAAATATTTCGGGAATCACAATTTTGTCGAAATCGACAATTTAATTTTTGTCGATTTCGAATAGAAATCGCGACTTAATACTTTTGTCGTGTTACAGCATGCTTTGAATTTCTTGCCATAGCATGCGAGAAACCTTCACTCAGATGTTCATAATTGCGAAGGTATGAACTTGTGGGACACGTTATCCCATTTTCGCGCGGCGTTACTAATACGTGCGGCCGTAAAACTTTCCGCGCGAACGACACTAATACGAGTCGAAATTTAACGTCACCATATGAACAACTATCGAGAAAGCTTCCACCATGTTTCGTACTGTAGTAAATTTGCGTATGAACTTTGAAAGAAAGAATCTCCGTGATTTTTTAATTCTTCTACACTCTTAGTTTTGACATTCGATTTTAGCTATCCAATCAATTTTAAATTGCGTATATCTTTGTTATACAAATCAATCAAAATATGTTAATCTATTAGGGACTAAGGGTGATGTCAATCGCCTTGAATTTTTTATTCCTATTCACTATACTTTAAAAATAGAAATGACGTCAAATTTGTCGACAATTCTTCAGATGATTTATTTATGTTTAAGGAGTTTTCTCACCAGGAACCATAATGAATTCTCGAATAGTTGTTTGAGAATATAGTAGCACTTCACACAGAAAAACTCGGTCTTAAATAAGATTACCTTGCTAGGAATCCAGTCTGCAATACACGTCATCTCGGAATGAATTAAATTCTCCAACATCTTATTTCATGTAGTTTAGTAGCATCAATTAATAGGCAAGCTTGTTAATTAAACGAATACCATATATTCGAATTTGGGATTTAGAAGTATTGGGAATGGTCCAATTTAAATCTTGGATACACAATCTACTTTTAGAAATCGTAAGAAACTTCACATTTCAACTATCAACATGGAACGGATTACTACACTAACACGCCTTGACTGTGCTCAAAGATCTCTATGGCAAATTCTCTTATGTTTGGAAAGACTTCCGGAACTAGTCCAGCTACTACAAGCTAGAGAGGAAACAGGCATATCGCATGGAACACATGCATTTAGAATGTCCGTGTGTGGTGTGTTTGCAAATAAGGAGCTTTGTCATTACAGTAATTTGGTAGATTTGCTAAACCAAGCGAAATGTATTAATTGGCGATTGACTGAGTGCTCTTCGTGCTCACGACGATACTTACCCCCCCCCCCCTTACGCAAAGTTGCACACGCACCTTCAAACCTGTCTGGGTGCGCATGAGATTGCATGTTCAGCGGTGACAACTTTGTGCGCTCCGCAACCTCCAGTTGCTCACTTTGGATATCTAACCTAAGATGTTCACACTTTTATGATAATTTTTCCAATTACATGGACATAAATATAAATTAGCCCAACTTTACATTTACATCAACCGCTATTTATGTTCAGATGTATCTTTGATTAGAATGTTACGAATGACAGATAAAGTCCACTAAAACCTGATTTACTAGTTACTAAAGATTGACTTTATATATGGATACCCATACGCGCAAATGCGCACACACACATGCACACACGCGAGTGGTTACGCATAACCACTCACACCGCGGGGATCTTGAAGCCCATTTATCAAATGATTAACCATTTTTAATATGAATTAGCGAATTAATGAATTAGGCGGAGTAGAACCCAGCCTGCTATACTTCCATCATATAAAACGTTTCATTTCACACACGTCTTTATGCATATATATAGATATATTAACATGCGCAATTTCATTGATTTGCAAACATTAAGTGCCAACGAAAACCTACCAGGTGGTACAATATTTAATTAACAAATCAATCACCTGCAAATATGAAATGGTAAGTTCATAAAAATAGCACCAAATGCAGTTTGTTCAACTAAAAACAACAGCACTGATCATTTATTAACCATTTTAGTTAGCTAGTCTTCAATTAAGAATATATCGAAGAATGATCACAACATTTAGAAATATCCTACTACTGATTGTTCTATTTTTCACCGCAAAATCATTCATTTATAAGCGGAATGCAACTGGCAATTATTTATACTTATCCAAAATTCCAATTAAAGAGTTTCAACTCCACCTTTCCAATTCTAATTCACCTTACTTGTTAGAACTTCATTATCACAAAGCATTATTTCTGTGGCCAAGATGGGAGCACCACATTCCAGCACGTTTTATACTGAATACGAAGACCATCAACAAGCGATTAATCACCTTCTCGGAATTGGTGAACATTGATGAAAAGCACTTCTTAACCACACCTGTCAGAAGAGAAGTGTTTCAACTCTTTCCTCTGGACGCAGACTTACCAAAATTTGTAATGAAAATCACCCAAGGAAAACCCATCCCACATGTAAGTGCGCAAAAAAACCTTTCAGATTATTTGCTACTAGGAACCGATTAATTACAGCTCCATGAGATACCTCAAACTACCTTCCAAAGTTTGCGCGCTAGAAGGACCGAATAAAAACGACCGATTTGACATTGTTGTTGTCGTTAAAACAGGTGTCTTCAATTTTGAAAGAAGACGAATACATAGAGAGGCACATGCCCATATTAAGGATCGCCAACTTGATGGATTTCGAATTGGCATTGTATATTCAGTTGGCACCCAACGAAAAATTAACTCTAACAAATTTAACATCACTTCTGGATTGACTTTGGAGCTTTTTGGAAAGAATGGAAAGCTCTTAAAGGAGAAATCGCCAAATGAAACTCAAGAACAATTGTATAGGGAAGTAAAAGAATATGGTGATCTTATTGTGGGTGATTACGAAGACACTTACTACAACCTCACTCTCAAAATGATGCATTCATACTACTGGTTCGCATACTTTTGTCATCCAAGCAAGCCCATACTCATCTATCTCGATGACGATTTCGCTTTCAATGCTACTTATTTGAGACGCTTCGTGAAAGGTTTATCACCATATCAACGAGAAAATCTTGTAGCTGGAAGACCGAAATGGCATGGTCCAGTAGTTCGATTTGGAAATGCCAATTTTGGATGGAAGTGGGGACAGTTGAAATCAGAGGAACCATGGAACTTTCATGCCCCGTAAGTCAATTCTGAAGTAAATTTTCTTGTACAACTATATTAATTTTAAACGTTTCCATGACCATTTCGATGGGCCTAGTACTGCAGAACTTAGTACGATTTGATATTATAGAAGCCTTGCTACAATCAATGGCTAATAAAGGACTTGCCTCGTCTATATGAGGCAACTATTCGAGCTAGCTGGCTGGAAATTAGAAATTACTAGTTAGTTTCATGATGACAGTAATACGGTTTTAGAAGAAGCCTGACTTTATCAAAATTTCTCAACCTGACCATTAGGCAACATGAATCTTCGAGGTTTGCATTCTGTAAATATGGTTGCAACCGTGTTCAAATTTAGTTTAAATAAAGATTTCCTCTCGAATATATGAATTGGAATATAAGCATACGTAATTAGTTCATATATTTTGTGGGAAATGGAAGGACGCGATATCAGCACAATTGCCATCATTCCTCTTTTTCTTAGACACCTTCTCGGACC